ATGAATGAGTGAGTCTGCAAGTGCTGATGTGAAGGCAGCTGAAGAAATTTTGGAAACTCTAAATAAGCTGATTGTGGAGGAAAATTACTGGCTAGAGCAAATATTCAATATGAATGAAACCTCCCTATTCTGGAAACGGACGCCTGAAAGGACTTTCATCCATAAGGAGGCCAAGTCAATGCCAGGTTTTAAGGCTTTCAAGGACAGGATAATAGTTTTGCTTGGGGAAGTGTTGCAGGTTACTGAGTGCAACCCTTTGTGATCTGGCACAGTGAGAACCCCAGGGCCTTCAAGCATATCAATAAGCACACACTGCCAGTGTATACAGGAGCAATAAGAAGTTATTGGTGACTCAGCTCCTCTTTTAAGATGCCCAACTAAATTGCTATGCCAGCAAAATGGAGAAGTATTATTTGGAGAGTAACATACCTTTCAAGTTTTTGCTTATTGTTGATAATGTTCCTGGACATCTTCCTTTTATTGGTGATCTTCATTCCAATATCAAAATGGTGTTTCTACCTTCAAATACCACCTCTTTGATCCAACTAATGGATCATGGAGTTATACCATCTTTTAAGGCCTACTGCCTGAGGAGAACCTTTGCCCAGGATGTTGCTACAACTGAGGAAGACACTGACGCAAGTCTCGATGGATTACAACATCTATTACAGCATCAAGAACCTTATTTGGGCTTGGGGTGATGTCACCAAGGAGTATATGAATGGCATATGGGGTGTCTGGAAGAAGACACTCAAGAGGTTCATCAGTGATTGCAAAGGATCTGCCAAGGATAAGAAGGTTGCAAAAATCAACAAGGCTGCGGTTGAGATGGCAAACAACTTTAACCTGGGTGTGGATGAGGGTGACATTGAGGAGCTCCTAGAGGTGGTTCCTGAGAAAATGACTAAGAAGGGGTTGTTGGAACTGGAACAGGAACACGTAGCTGAAGAGAAGGCAAGAGAAAAGGAAACTCCAGGAGAAGAAAAAGAAGAGCCCCTAAGAAAATTCACAGTGAAGGGTTTAGCAGATGCTTTTGCAGACCTCAACAAGCTCGTTAAGTTGGAAAACAGACTCCCAAAGCAAAAGGTTTTCATTAATAGAGAGGAATGTTCATGGTGCATTATCTACTTACAAGAAAATCTATGGGGCTGGCCCCGTGGCCGAGTGGTTAAGTTCGCGCGCTCCACTGCAGGCGGCCCAGTGTTTCGTTGGTTCGAATCCTGGGCGCGGACATGGCACTGCTCATCAGACCACGCTGAGGCAGCATCCCACATGCCACAACTAGAAGGACCCACAACGAAGAATATACAACTATGTACTGGGGGGCTTTGGGGAGAAAAAGGAAAAATAAAATCTTTAAAAAAAAAAAAAGAAAATCTATGATGAAGAAAAAGAAACAAACCAAGCAAACCACCATGGACATACTTCTGAAAAGAGTGACCCCTCCTCAGAAAGAGCTTCAGGCAGGTCCTTCAGGAAGTATTCCAGAAGAAGACATTGTTATTATAGGAGATGGCAGCTCCGTGTGTGTTAGTGCCCCTGAAGACCTTCCAGAAGAACAAGATCTGGAGGTGGAAGACAGTGGTATTGATAATGCTGACCCTGTGTAGGCCTAGACAAATGTGTATGTTTGTGTCTTCATTTTTAACAAAAATTTTAAAAAGCAAAACAAAAAAAATGAGAAATTTTACAGATAGAAAATAGCTTATAGAATAAGGGTATAAAGAAAGAAATTATTTTTGTACAATTGTACACTGTGTGTTTTAAGCAAAGTATTATCACAAAATAGTCAAAAGTTAAAAAGATTTAAGAGTTTGGGGGCCAGCCCAGTGGCGTAGTGGTTAAGTTTGCCTGCACCACTTCGGTAGCCCAGGGTTTTCAGATTCAGATCCTGGGCGTGGACCTATGCACTGCTCATCAAGCCATGCTGTGGTGGTGTCCCACATGCAAAGTGGAAGAAGGTTGGCAAGAGATGTTAGTTCCAGGCCAATCATTCTTACCAAAACAAGAAAAAGAAATTAAGCATTTATAAAGTAAAAAAGTTACAGTAAACTGAGGTAGATTTGTTATTGAAGAAAGAAAAAATTTTTAACAATTTTTGTTGTTGTTGGTTTTTTTTTTTGCTGAGGAAGATTAGGCCTGAACTAACATCTCTTGCCAACCTTTCTCCTTTTTTGCCTGAGGAATATTAGCCCAGAGCTAACATCTGTGCTAACCTTCCTCCACTTTATATGTGGGCTGCCATCATAGCATGGCTGACAAGTGGTGTAGGTCTGTGCCTGGGATCCAAACCCACGAACCCAGGCCACCAAAGTGGAGTGCACTGAACTTAAACATTATGCCATAGGGCTGGCCCTGAAAAATATTTTTTTATAAATTTAGTGTAGCCTATGTGTACAGTATTTATAGAGTCTATAGCAGTGTATAGTGATGTCCTAGGCCTCCACATTCACTCATCACTCACTGACTAATGCAGAGCACCTCCCAGTCCTGCAAGCTCCATTCATGGGAAGTGACCTATACAGGTGTACCATGTTTTAGCTTTTATACTGTATTTTTACTGTAACTTTTCTATTTTCAGATACACAAATACTTACCATTGTGTTACAGTTGACCACGGTATTCAGTACAGCAACATGCTGTCTGGGTTTGTAGCCTGGGAGCAATAGGCTATATGATATAGCCTAAGTGTGTAGTAGGCTATACTATCTAGGTTTGTGAGTACACTCACTCTATGACATTCACACGACAAAATCGCCTAAGGAAGCATTTCTCAGAACGTATCCTCATCATGAAGCAACACATGGCTGTACTTACATTAATCTGCAGTAATGTGAGTTGTTCTACATACTATAGATTCGAATTCGTCAAGGTTCTCCAAAGAAGCAACCAACATGATACATGTAGATATGTCAGAGGAGATTTATTATAGGAATTGGCTCACATGATTATGGAGTTGGGGCCACTGGTGTAATTTCTGGTTTCCCAGAGTCAGGAGCTCCGATGTCCAAGGGTAGGAGGAGATATATGTTCCAGTCAAGAACAGTGAGAGAGAATTTGCCTTTCCTCCATTTTTTAGTTTTATTTGGACTCTCAATGGATTGACGGACGCCCCACCCACATTGGTGAGGGCTATCTTCTTTACTCAGGCTACTGAGTCAAATGCTAATCTCTTCCAGAAACATCCTCACAGGCACACTCAGAAATAATGTTTTATCAGCTGTCTTGGCATTCCTTAGCCCAGTCAAGTTGACACATAAAATTAACTGTCACAAGACTCTTATGCCTATAAGGGTATTAAAAACAATTTATTTTTATGTAAAATATATATCATTGGTGTCAGTTTATTTCTATATTCAGAGAAATGAAGCATTTATTTCTGTATTTTCTATCATTAGCGTGCCAAGTACTTTCACTGTTGGAAAGCAATAAAATTAATCATTTTTGGCTTTGGCTGATGTTATGATGCATGTTTGTAACAATCCTGATAACCTTGAGTGAGAAAGCTCACAATGCTTCATACTAGGGAAAGTAGGGGTGCCCAGTCATTTACTTCCACTGCAATGTGTGTGTGTGTTGCCCTGCCGGGGCTGGGCGGGGGAGGGGGGGGTTGGAGGAAGCGGAGGTGGGAGGGGGAGGCCGAGGGTAGTGGGAGGGAAGGGAGATAATTATAAGAATCCTGGGAGGAAAAAGAAAAAATAATCTGTAGAATACTTTTTGGAACTGAAAACCTAGCAGTAAGAAGAGGGAATATATAGCCTTTAGGTAGCATGAATGATTCAGTGTGTTTGTATGTGCAGAAATTTGAGGGAGGCACAAGTGCCTACAGACTGCCTTAGTGTTTAAACTACAAGCAGATAGATTTAGTACTTTTATTTAAAGGTTAGGATAATGTAGCTTAAAATATTTTAATTTCTGTCTGAGCTTCTAGATGTAATCCCATGCAATTGGAATTTGATAGTCCGTTCACATGAAGAGAATGAGAATTGTCTAAGACCTCTGTTATTTCAGTCCTTTGTATTACAGGAATGGACATTTCAAATTATCAGAGGGAAACAGGAACTAGCTACTGTTAAAGGAAATATGTGTCTAAGACATTTACTTAAAATTTTTGCAACAAAAGTAACTATAGCTGTATGTTATATAATATACAGATTAACTTGATTTTTTTCTGCTGTGTATATAGCTTCAAATACCTTTCTCACTTAGTCATTTTTAACCAGCACCATGGACACACCTTGATATTAACTGTCAAATGTATGTGCTGGACAAAACAGCCAAATGGCAGACATCAAAGTAGAAAATAAGAGAAGCAAGGGCAAGTAATATTTATCCCAAGGTTCACTGGTCAACTTACAAACAGACATGGATAATTATAAGTTGGTTGTAGCAATTCTGAGATTTGGATCACTTACACAGATAATATATTCTGTAAAAGTTCTGGAAAGTATCTGGTGAGTCATACAGCTGGAGGTAGAAATTGCTGCCTCTTTTGGTTGGATGAGCACTTCCTTCATCATATTCACCAGGTCCCTCTCTGTGGACCAAAAGGGAAGGGAGACTGGCTCTGCCAGAAGCCACTCAGCGGAGATTTTGTCCCTATTTATTAAAGCTGTCATCCCTCTCCTACTGTGTTCAGTCCTCTAAAGTAGATGTCACTTTCTTAGAATCTAACTATAGAATTTTAGAGATAAAATGAACCTTAACTGGCTAGGAAAGTTAGACTCTGCATTATTAATTGCATGGCTAATTTGTGGTGAAGCTGATGATGAAACCATTGCAGCATGTCTTGTCCAGTTTCCTTGACGACACTACATTGCTGCTTTCCCCCAACTCCTCCTTTTATTCTCAGGATGTAGCTGAGAAGCATTGGAATAATGTCTTGGTGGCACTTCTTTAAGCATTTTCCTTCTTCAGACACACAGAAAAATCATATTGTTGACCATAACCATTCCTTTTCATTTAATTCTCAAGGGATCTCTGTATTTTTCTCTGAACAGCCTCAAAACCAGTGGACTCAAAATTGTGCACTGGCCCTGTCCCTAATACTACACAGCTGTGCCACATTCCCTGTCCTATTGAATGTGAGGTTTCACCTTGGTCAGCTTGGGGACCTTGTACTTATGAAAACTGTAATGACCAGCAAGGCAAAAAAGGTATGTAATGTCAACATGATATGCTTGAAACTCCTGTCAATTAAGTGAAACCATGAATGATTTAAAAATGATGCTCTGTGTTCCTTGTGATTATTTGTTTGTAATGTTTTCCAGAATGGCTAAAGAGCATTGATTGCAAAAGATGACTAAACCTACTCTGGTGATGGTAGCAGAAGATGAGACTTGAAGAACATAGGCAAGATGCTTGCTAATTGAGACAGCCAAGGGAGAACTTCTGAGGCAGTTCAGTGCTGTGGTTAATATGAGCTGTGGTGTCAGACTGACCTGAATTGGATGACCTGTCATGTCCCTCACTGTTTAGATAAATTAATTCACTTATCTACATCTTTGTCCTCTTATCTGTAAAGAGATTTAATAATATCTGCCACCCAAGTTTTCTCTAAAGATTCAATGAGATAATAAAGATATAGCACTTAATTCCGTGCCTGACCCGTAGCTAGTGCCCAATAAACAAAACTCCTTGTTACTTTGAAGGTAAAAGAAACAAGAACAAAATGAAAAACTCTATTGCTTTTTTGATGCAAATAATATATCTAAGAGGAATAGAATAAATGCAATGGTTTACCTCATGGTGGGCATGGTCGTGTAATTTTCACGTGATCTAGTAGTTGAAAACACTTTCCTATTTTGTTTCAGAGGACGGTCATTGGTGATTTTAATATGTTCACATAGTAATAAACAGACATTAATTTTGTTATACATCATCAGAAGGGCAACATTTAGGTGCTATTAAAGCACAGAGCAGGACTTTGAACATTCCTCTTTAGAGCCCAGATGGTTTATACCCCTAATTCAAATTTCCAGGGAGTTTGAAATCAACCAAGGCTCAAGAGTCGGTTTCTCTGGTAGCATCCAACTTCTCAGAGGTTTCTTTTCAAATTTAACCATGTGATAGTGTTGAAGAATTCAAAGTAATACCATTTGTGTCTGGTCATGAATATTTTTGAATAGCTTAAGATTTCATTGTTTCTTTGAGTATTTTATAACTACAGACTTTCCAAATCAGGCAAAATCAGTCTCTCTCTCTCTCTCTCTCTCTCTCCAGCCCTATGAGGAAATGAGAGATATATGGTATTTCTTGCCTTATTTTTATTATGGTAAATGTACACCAAAAGTCCCTCTTTGATCATTCTGTTCATTCATTTATTTGTTTAATGAATTATTAGTGAGCTCACATTACGCTAGAGTTTGGGGATGCATCAGTGATTAAAGCAGATATGCCTTCTACCCTCTACCCTCATCCAGCTTTGACTCGAGGTTTCATTCAGCCTTCTGAAATATTCAATCTATGATAGTAACAATAAATATTTTCCTTCCCCAATAATCCAGGTTTCAAACTGAGGAAGCGCCGCATTACCAGTGAGCCCACTGGAGGCTCTGGGGGCACTGGGAACTGCCCTCACTTACTGGAAGCCATTCCCTGTGAAGAGCCATCCTGCTATGACTGGAAAGCAGTGAGGCTTGGAGACTGTGAACCAGATAATGGAAAAGAGTGTGGTCCAGGCACTCAGGTTCAAGAGGTTGTGTGCATCAACAGTGACGGTGAGACAGATAGATCTATCTTGCTTTTATGAATGTCTGTTTAACCCTGGAGATATGTTTTGCCTTATGCCAAAATCTCATGTCTTCTCTCATCATAAGTGGTTCCATTTACAAACACAGAAATAGCTGCTGCTTCTTTCCTTCCCTTCCTGCTCGCCTCCCTCCCTCCTTTCTTTCTTTTTCCTTCCCTCTCCTCCCTTTCTTTCTCTTTCTTTCTTCTTCCTCCCTTCCTTCCTTCCTTCCTTGCTTGCTTCCTTCCTTCCTCTCTCTCTCTCTCTTTTTTTCTAATGGTGGCGAAGGAGAGGTTCTTTGAACAATCACAGGGTATTTTTAAATTTGAAAATGGGTAACATAGAATAAGAAGTAAATCATCAAGGCAATGATGTATCAGATTGAAGAATGTAAAAATAAGGAAAAGTAACATTTTTCTAAGTGGTATTTTTTATTTGCCATAGAAGAAGATATGTAAATAAACACAGGTTGTAAGGATTGGTTGACTTGACTCCAGAAGCCTTTGTTTCCCACCCTGATATTGTGTCTTAGTGATGTAATTTAACTTACAGAGACACAAGCCGTTAGGCATCTCACAGCCTAGAGTTCCCTAATCAACCTTTTGAGCTTTGGGGGTCTCCCCTCTAGGAATGTCATAGAGCCATTAGGATGGTGATTTTCGACAAGGTTCTTTTCCTGAACCTTGGATTACCACAGGATTACCTTGGACTTTTACTACTGATTTTTGTTCGAGAAAATATCGTGTCTTGTTGTTAACCCTGACGTAAGATTTCTATATTCTTTCCACGAGTGCTGCTACTATTTTGGGGAGCTCTCTTTACTCCTCAGCAATCCCTGAGTCACGCTTAGGAAACATAGAATTCCCCCAGACGTAGTTTAAAACCTCTGGCTAAGATCATCTCTAAGGTTCCTTCCAACTCTCGAATCCTATGACTCTGCACATCAGAGCAGCATGAACACCAAGCCCCAGGGTCCCATGGTTTGACAGTTTCTGCTGTTTACAGTGTATGCAGAAACAGTCTGGCGCCCCCTCAGGGGCCCTGAAACATGTGGTAACCGTCATCATTCCTTCCATCCTATTTTCTTCCAGCAAGCAGAACTGTTTCTTCCTAGGACTCGGTCAGTGTTCGCTAGAGAAAGATACTCTTTGCAGTGAGAGACTGACAGAAGCTGCTAGTACTGAGGAAGCAGCCTTTCCACTTTCAAACATACAAGACCCTGTCATCTTTGTCCAGGGTCCAAGGAAGTCATACAGGACAGCGTTGTTTCAAATCCGAACCGCACTTGAGGCTGGAAGGTGAAGAAGGGGGTTATTGCTCCAGATATTGTAGGATGAATTTTATGTTTTCTGCTTTTTTCTCTGTAGCTATAGTTAGCTATGATACATCTCTTTAGCTTTTACTCACTTCTGCTCTGAAGGGAAAGAAAAGAAGGCATTTGACGTCTAGGAAAAAGAAAGCAAAAGAAACGCATTCTGTTGTGCTCATACACGCACTTCAAATCCTGATTTGTATTGATGGCACTCTATATTAGCTCTGAGCTGCTGTAAAAACCGTAAGGGTCAAATTTATTTTAGCGTCATTGGTAACTCCCTTCTGATACTGCTTCTTGATTTTTTTTCCTCAATTCAAGTAATTTTCTTATTCTCCTGTAAACGTAGGGAGGAACTGGGATCCCACATATTGTAAAAGGTGTATTTGTGTGAGCTAAGATGAAAAAAACACCAAGATGAAAGGTTAATTGTGCATGGAACTTCCACCTAAATATTATCAAATGAAAACTCGTACCTCACTTATTGCAGTGATCTTCCTGGATGTTTGTGCAAATTGAGTATATTTTAAATATATTAGAGGAACTGGCTACTTAAAAAATATCAGTGGTTAATTTTAATTGTGTCTGGTAAAAATATTTTGTAAAACAAATAATCACCTCCTAAATTGTCTTGTGGAACACCAAAGAACAATCAGAATGAGTTAGATATGTCTAGATATAATGAAGAGTAATGTATGTTATAACCTAAAAGGCAAATTGATAACTCACAGTGTACATAAGCTGGTTTTACTTTGTCTACCTCACAGACAGAATGAATTAAAAAAGGTGAGAAGTGTGCTATTGATATTCAATTTGTTATTATTGTCCTTTATCAGGACATTTCTTCCATCATTAAATTTTACTTCCTAACATTAATTAGTTGTAGTGCAACTCAATATTTTAACTGGCTCAAACTACAGGAGTGCATAAAATCAGGAAAATTCTTTATTATTATAAATATAAGTAATAAATATAAATGTAAATAGTCCTTTATTATTATAAATCCCAATTACTGACACGTAATTGTGCTGATAGAATCTGAGCCAAAGCTGGAGACCAGTAAATACTCCGCCAGTATTATCATGTGGTCACCTGGTAAGTGTTTAGCAGCTGCACCAAATGTTGTTTTGTAATTAAATCGAGCCCAGGGAATTAAAGTTGATTAGTGGTACACACTCTACCTCTAGGCCTGGCTGCGGCTGTAGATTTTGTTTTATAATTAAGTTAAAGCTCGACTAGGGAAATGAAGAATTAGAGCCCGTGAATGTAGCAAATAATAAAAAGACTTTTTTCCCTCCCATAATCCTCACAAATTTCGCAACTTTGTTGATGACCTCAAAGCATTTAAATCTCTGTTTTTTTCCCCCGATATGTTCTTTGTCTAGGCTTCCAGAGGTCGTTAGGATTTACTGCTGCTGGTAGTATTCATCTTTTCTGCCTTCCGAGGCGCAGGACTGGGGAAGGGTTGTGAGGGCGCCCAGCAGGAGTTTTATGTAGATTCCCTGACACACAGAGGAGTGTAACAGAAATCCTAGATGAAGGAGAACTCAGGAGATAATTAGACTCTCCAGAAAGAGAGAAACATTTTACGTGTAATAGAAAAAATATTACTTATAATTTAAAGATAGTCAGAGAAGCAATTCCAGACCTCTGAGCACAAACCCAGGAATGACTCCAAAGGTCCTGTAGTGGTGGTGTGGGGGGAGAACCCTAGAGGATGTTGGACCTATGAGGAAACCCAAATCTGCCCTATTTCAGTTTTTGTGACATCTGTGTTTTATTTAAAGATGTAAATTTGGTAAGCAAGAGTATTTTCTTTCCGAAATTGGTTGGTTAGAGACAGAACAAAGCAGGGCTATCAGGTTAAAAGTGGGGGGAAAATCTATTGTCTCGTTGATTACTTAAGGAGACAGTAAACCAAACATTGTTTCCATATTTCCCTCCTCTCTGTTGAAAAAATAAATAATGCCATCCATATTTCATTACCGTGTGCTCTATATCAGATATCAGAGTATTGACACATTTCTGTGTGACTTTAAAGACTACAGTTTTGTAAATTTGTTTTTGGCATTACTTAGTAAAGTGGTGAACCTCAGCTGTTTCAAAATGCCTGCCACTTCTATACTACCTTTCTTATTTTTCTCCACACTAGTAAAAGTTAACAATATAACCAATGACATTGACGTGCACAACTCATGTTCATGCTTGACCCAAATTTTTATGAGACAAAAAAAATATATAAATAGTAATAATATTTCCATGGACGTAAATTGACACAACGATTCATCAGGACACAGCTATTAATGGTATAGTAGTAAGGGTAGTGACCAGGCGGGGCCCTCAGAGTTTGCTCTGCCGTTGTGGAAGCCCTATGGTTCCGGCTCAAATCCTTCCTCATCTATTGGGCAAAGTGTGTCAAAATTCAAGGGTAACCTTGACTCACTCTAATTTATTTGTTAAAAGGAACTGACTTACTTTAAATGTCAGTACCAACAAATGTTTTATGCACAACCTAAAAACTGGTTGTAACACACCATTGTGTCATGTCACTGTGGTTAAAAGCTATTGGATTATTAAGAACTTCTGTCCATAAGTTCCTTATGCTTCAAATATAAGGACTGCATCAATAATATTAGATGTTTATTAGTCATATGTAAAGATAAATGGATGTAAGTTATATGGGCATGTGTGTGTATTCATTATACGCAAATATTTTTTCAATTTACACTGTGAGGTGCTGGATCTGTTTTTGCAAAGGGTGTCCTAGATCCCCCAGTATCTCTCCTTAAGTGTGTGCTATGATATGATTCCTAAGTCTTACCTACAGACCCAATGAATTACAGTCTATGGAGGCAAGTCCCAGAAAGCTTCGTTTTTATGAAGCCTCCTGGATAGTTCTGATGTTCAGTGAAGTTTGTGAACCATTGTATTAACATGAGAAAAGGATTGTTTTGGTTGAACCTAAGTCCCAAATCTGTTACCTGAAGACTCCCAGCAGTGTAGCAAACTGGTTAGATTGGGGTAAGACTGAAGAGGACCTATGATTAAGAAAGTGTTGAGACTAGTACTGAGGCAAGCCTTTAAAGTAAATTTTTCTGCCTGTTTTTGGAACTGTTTTTGCATATCCTCTGAAGTACCAAAAGAACTGGGGAACATTGGGGAAGATGATTTTACATCCAGAGCACTGGCTTGTCATGTGCCTGCTTAATCTTTCTGAAATTTTTACCACTAGTTTCTTTATTCTGGAATGAGATATGTATCCGCATGTGAGTGGAAGAAAGGGAAGACTTGAATACTATTTCTTTCCCAAGTAGTTCATGTCATACTTCTCTTTTGCCATGTATTCAGTATTAAGAGGAATATAAGGGCATGTCATTTCAATATCTTGAGGTAAATGCAGGAATAAACACCTAAAAAATATTGAAAATTTTTCCTCTGGAAACAGGACTCAGTGTGGGGAGAGCTGGGTTAAAGTACTGCTTTATTTTTAGCCTTGTAGTACAATTTGTATGTGATTTATAAATTGTATGAATGCTGAATTAATTTGTCAAAATATATATTTATTAACAGTTTGAAGGGGGACAGAGGTATGTGGGACAAGGAGTGGAGTAGAGTATAGGGAGCAAAGCATTCCAGGAATAGAAAAAGAGAAATTGCAAAGCTTATAGTTCAGACTA